CACACACACACGGCACACACACACACAGGACACATGCACACGGCACACACGCACACACGCACACACATACACACACACGGCACACGCACACGTACACACACACACACTCACATGGCACACAAACATATACACACACACTCACACACACAATCAAACGCTTTGCAAACACGTTTAATGCCTGTTTTCAATTTGGAGTCTTAATACAATCATCATTATCATTCTTTCTCTGTTCTTTTGGAAAATCCATCCCAGTGTCACCGTAAGAATAATAAGCAGGGATGCTGCCCAATAAGACCCGTTCATCAGTCACTGGTGGACCTTCTGTGATGCAGTGACTGAACCTTAAATGGATGCATTTAGTATTTTATATTCTAGGCGTCGTACAGAATTTCACCTGGAATGGAACCGTAAAAACCACCCAGACCACCGTAGTTGTGAATATTAAAGGACAAGGTAGTTGTCTTCCAATGGCCGTCTGATGACTTGCTGGTTATCGTTCAGTCACCTAAGCAAGCCCGGTCCAATCTGGTTGCTTGAGAAAACACCCACCTGATTATTCCTAATTCTACTACATGAGTGAATCTCGCTGTAATTCCACCTAACTCATGCATCTGAATGAATGTCTGTCTGAATTTATCTACCTTAATTGCTTGAATAAATCTCTATCTCAACCATGCATTTTTAACAAGCCGAATGAACTACTAAAGTCGAAAACACAAGAGTTAAGCTCAGTTGGGTGCTAAGTGAATGAGGACATTGGGTGAATGTTAATCCCTCCCCATTCGATCCATCTTCTGATTTAAAAGGCCCACTGATGTACTCATGTAGGCTGAGCGTCATGCTTTTCCGTCCATATTCTTAATTTGTGCCAATGCATCTCTTTGCAATGATTATATGTATAGTTTATATAGTCATTTATAGCCTAAATGTATAATTGCATTCCAAACTTAGTCATCAAAACAAATTACATAATATAAAATACAATTAATTTGATGATAACATAATAAATGAGCACTCACTAGGCTTGCAATTTATGCTTATAATTAGTTATTGCAAGAGAAAGTGAATTCATGCATGAGCTGACTTAAAAGGTATTACTGCATAAAAAGTTTAGTAAATGTACAATTGTAGTTTACAATATTTCACACCTAAATATAATCAGGACAACAAATAACTAAGTCAGTGATACAATACATTCAGATTAAAAAATATTATTATGTATAGGCGATGCAGAAAATTGTTTAGATATTTGTATTCTGTTGTTTGTTATATGTCACTGCAAGCACCAAGCCAAGACAAATGCATTGTAAATGTGAACTTATATGGCCAATAAACCTCCATTCATTCATTCATTCATTAAATAGAAAATTATGTGGATCAATGCTGGACAGAATTAAATATACAGAGGATTAATTTTTTATGTGGTGAATGAAAAGCAGTAAGGCTTTTATTGTGATTAGTATTATTAGTGGTATTCAGTAAAGTAATCCAAAGTAATTTGCAGGCATGACAGAACTTGCATTGGGTTCAGTCTCATGCCAAACCTGGGCTATAGGTCACCTTGACAAATAGTATCTTAGTTATGCATTAGTTATTTGTTATACTTTGCAAACAGCATTGTACAAAAGGCCCAGGTGACACTTGACCAGGTTTGTTGAAAGCTGGTCAAAAATTACCATGTTATTCTGTGTCAGCTATTTTAATTTCTAAATTAGCCAAAATTATATTAACTTGCCTTTTTTAGTGCAAGTCAATGATGGCAAAAAAGGATTCAAAGCAGTCTAGATCTTGCTATCTGCGGCTCTTTCGTTCAGCCTGTTCCACTAGTGTCCTTTCACTCTGATTCTATTTTCTTACTCTAATTAATCCATCTACATACTCCAGTATCCCAGCTGCTGCTCTGACCTCGGACAATTTATGATTACATAAAAGGCACATGAGCCACGGTCCCTAACACTGAGGGTAGCGGATACACCTTGTGAATAATACTGACATCATGAGTAATATAGGTCAGTTTAGGGGCCATGTCTTATTTTACTTAATAACAGCAACTATTACAAATAGATAGATACACTGCTCATAAAACATGTGCCCACTCATTGTTTGGTTAGGGGTTAATTACTGATTTATTAAGAACATTAATTGTAAGGTGATATCTGGAATTAAGACATCATAAACTAGCAAATTTTCTGCACATACATTCTCTTGCACTAAATCAATGTGAGATTACTAAAGACTGGAATTAATTGCTTGAAAGAACACAGAATTGATGGTGACATAAGGCCTACAATAAAACGATAAGTAAATGAGATTTGGGAAAACTGACACATAAAGGTGTCCTTAGTATTATCATGATACAATCTCTGGACTTCTACCAATGGGGATTACAGCTTTGCTCCAAAATCAAGGCCTTCTGAGAAGGATTAGCGTGTGAGGTCTTGCTGTCCAGTCCAAATCAAAGGTCATAAGGGTGGATGCTCTTTTAATGCCTGACAATGGAAATGGACAACTTGACAATGTGATTATGAATATTAATTATGAGATCATTTTGAGTAAGTGCTATGAGATCATTTTGAGTAAGTGCTATGTGTTTTTTAAATATCTGTGATACTTAACATAAACAATGTAAAAAGGTAGAAGACTGTGTACAAATTATGCTTAAAATGGCTGATAGTACACATTTGTCTCTGATCAACTCATGATGATAGATGTTTGTTTTTGATTCTTATGTTTTGATTATTTGCCCAAGGCTAAGTAGTGTTAATTGTAGTTAACAAAGCTCAAAAAGATTGGAATTTGGAAGCATTTGTTTTCCATGTGACACAGACTAGGACACTACTCCATGTCATGCTATGCATTTTATTTTCAGATTCCACATTTGTGGAATTATGGCTACCTTGGGGGCAGAGATAACAGGTACAGTACACATGTCAGTGTAAATCCATGACTGTAGGTCTGCGTCACTTTTATCCTACATCTCCACCAGAGCCAATGTGACTTTAAACCTTTTTATGCTCCACATGTATCACTTAACATTACAGTTGCACCTTTTGATTCAAGTAATTCCCTTATGTTGGGTGGCCAGTAGGGGTAAACATGAATATGAAATCTGCAATAACTGCTATAGCAACAAAAAAAACTGCTATTTATAGAAGGTCATGTCACATGGATTTCAGAATAATATATATCTAACTCACAAAAGTACCTCTAATGAGATAAACTCATCCCACAATACAAGAGAGTACTGTTAGTGCAGACATCCAGTTAAAGGTATAAGTAGTTGAGTCCCTGTAGTGGGGATGATTTCCACAGCGTGGGGTGGAGAGAGCATATGGAGAGGGTCATTCTGAGCTTGGGACTGTCTCCACGGTGACGGGGCGGCTCCGAGGAGTCTGTGGCCTGCCGTGGTCAATAGTGCCAGCTGTCTACAGCAACGGGGTGTGGCCACCCAGAGGCACTGTGGGAGCAGGGTGCCATCGATGGGTAATTACCGTTGGCTATGAGACCCAGGTGCTCACAAAAGCAGCAAACCGCTCTTTAGATTAAGCTGGACAAAAGCTGAGCAAGGATGAGGCCACAAGCAGACTGTGGGAGGCCCATTCTTTTCAGGACCCATACCCTCCCCACTCTGTGTCTGCCACATCTGAGTGCCTTTGTCTTGCGCTTAAAATCTGCCAGTCTGTGAAGACTGGCAGGGGACTGCTTCTTGGCCTCTCGTCATCTAAAGATTGGCAGCGGTATAATTCTGCAGATTAGAAAATGCATCTGGCTGCTGGCATAACTAACGCACAGGAAAGAACCATTCTTTGAATTGTCCATTAATTCTTCAGCCCATTTTTGGGTAATTGCTTTTGAGTTAGGTTACCTGGACGCTGACTCAGAGAGAAGAGGGCATAATTTTGTTACAGGGCTCGTTGTATTGTATAATTTGTCAATTACTGGATGTTTTTTCATGAGCAATGATGGACTCTGAGTCCCAAGGAGGTCCACTCAGAGGAGCTAGAGCACTGACCAGTAAAGGCAGTGCCGTTTTGTTTCTCCAAAATAATGAACATGAATCACCTGTCGCACCTGAACACCACTCAAGTGCTGTGATAAGCCAGACTGATTCACCCTTCAACTGTCCATTAGCTGCTGAATAAGAATAGGGTGCCCATTAGCAAAACTCTCAACAATCACTTGCCTAATTATCACTGGACACAAAGGTGGGTAATTCCAGTGGTATATGACTTTAATATGTGCATGTTTTATCACCGGAATTGTGGCATAACTACAATCAGAGTTACAATCTTACCATCTATTCATCCATCCATACACTATCGATCCATCCAGTCAGTCATCCATTAAATGGTTGCGCTGATCATGGAGGTTATTCCAGTGAACACAAGGGACAAGACAGGGGAACATCCTCAATGATATATCAATTACCAGCAATTCGTGTTTTAATTATTATATTAGATAAAATTGTATGTAGCATGCAAGGACCGTCCCATGATCCTTATTTTAAAAAGAGTCAGAAAATATATTGGTGGATGTAAATGACTGACCACAAGGTGTCTTTCTTAATCATCAGACTCCCTGCTGGAGAAGTTTGGAAATGAAAAAGGCGTTTGGGTGATCGGATTCATTTTTGAAGAGTTAAATACAAACAATTAGAAAAGCAGTTGTTTATATTACAGAAAATGATCAAACTTGATATGAATATTGATATGAACATTTGCTAGTTTTCCTCGATTGTACAAAACGTTCAGCTTTGAAGCTACAAAAAAGCAGAAAAAATCGCAGTTAGACGGGTAATTTCCTGTGCTCCAACCTGCTTGGCTGCTGTTTGCAGTCACAGTTCACGTTTTGACCGCAGAGGGCAAGCGCGCGCAGTCATTCCCCTCGTGCTCCAGCGCGTAACTAACGGAAAGCCGGCGTAGTAGCGGGCTGCCAGTCCATTCCACTGGAGTCTTAACCACTCTTTATCCTAAACCTCTTTAGATCAATGAATTCACATGCAACTCTCTGCTCACAGTGCTGGTGGACAGCTCCCGTAACAAGTGAACGTCGCGGGTCGCTCGCGAAGTCCGTTTGACGTTATCTTATTGCTGAACGTCGGTAATATTTAAAAAGATGGATATTCGGCGTATTTCCAAAGTTGGCTTGTAAACCACAAAGTGCACAGTTACTTTTATCATTGTCCGCCGAGTTTGAGATTTTTCCTTTTTTTATTATTTGGAGTCGACTTTGGTCTGCTCAGCGCCCATGAATTGAATTTACCTCACTGTACTGAAGAAGGATCTGGCTGATTGTCGGACGGAGACTCTCAGATAACCGTAAATATGGAGAATATAGTTGGATTAATTTGGCTGCGAAGACTTCTGCTGTTCTGCGTGTGGTTTTCCTTTCTCAGCTTTGACGGCAAATCCTACGGTAAGTCCTACGGCTGGATTCTCATTCATTCAAAGTCGCCGTGTTGGCGACGTGCATGACCATTATGGCGAGAGTGGCTGTGGACACTAAGAATAGGCTATATGCAAAAAGCCATCATTTGAAAGTGGGTAATAAGAAAAACGTGTGTTTCCGTGTCATTGAAGAATTTTGACTGATGAGATGCAGCTCAAACCCCCACCCTCACCAATATAGTAGGCTACATCATTTGAGTTTGTTACATTCATTGGTAATGAACAGGATTAAATAATAACATCTGATTATCTTTTTTCCTAATAACATAATAAAACGTGCCTTTTCTTATTTCTCGTAACCTTTACTTCTGCTGGTCGGAAGATTAGATCTTATTGTGGTGTGTATTGAGATGTCCCTTTGACAACCCGGGCCAATAAAAGAAACCGAGTTATATAGTACTGTAGGACGAAGAAACGTCTTGCAGTAGCAGATGCTTGACTGTTTATTTTATTTTTGGGAAGGTGGCGGCGAAGAGGAAGCCAAAGAGCATGATCCTTTTTGTGAGAATAAAATGAGCCCTTGAAATAGCTCGTAAGAGGACATCCTTCGCGCTGCGGCGGAGACGCGCTCAGTCCCGGTCTGTATCAGACATCGGAGCCTTAAGACTAAACTGCCACCGCTCCGCTCGCAGCTGTCTTTAATATTCATAGCCCAAGACTCAAAAGCAACGCATACTTCGCCGTACCGCCGTGCCTTAAACGGTATAGGTATTAAGTCGATGTAGGTACTGGTTAAACAGTTATCGATGGTGTGATTAATAACATTCAAGGGCTTCCGTTTTAGCTGGCCTTTGACATTTGTATTAGTATGCGTGTGGCGCAACGCCTAACAACTGCAACGGAAATGAAAAGATGGGAATTTACCTTTATACGGCTTTGCTACAAATATTGGTAATGGAGTGAGTCGCACTGCCAATGCAGCGCCGGCTTCGGTTTTTATTACGCTTTAATTTTAGCGGTTTGAAGGACGTCCACCGCTCGCACGATTACAGAATCACCGAAAAGTGCTCAGTAGAAGTATGCCACTTTTGATACTCATATACTCATATATAAATACGTGGCAAGTTGTCGCGTCCCTATCCCATAGCCTATCCCGCTGTAAATCACACCAATTAAAAACACCCTGTCACAGGCTCTTGAATTAATATTCTCCTCTGGTACAAGCTTGTGCCCGACAACTGGAACTGGAGCACATCTGGCGGACTCAGAGCTCAACTCGAAAGCCGCCCAGTAATAGCCCTAATCCTGCCGATTCGCGATTATGTTTTACATGAGATACAGAACACAAATGGCAAAAATACAATGCATAATACATGACGACGAATAAATCATGATTACAGTATTTACTCCATGTAAACAGGGTATTAAATAAACCATATGCGTTTATATAAATCGCGTAAATCAAACATACCCTGTTTTATGTTGAAAAACTCAATTGTAATCCATTAAAGATAACCATTGTCCCCTTTACAGATGTTTTATAAGATACATACAAATAGTCGTAGTCATAGTATGAAGAAATTAACCAAGATAAGGATGCAGCTATCATAACTGTAGGGGACACGGATTCACGGAATATTTTACGTATGTTTACTCAACCAAAACGCAAAGGATCGGTTGACGAATTTTTATGTTGAAAAGTAAAGACGAAACTCATAATGATTTCTTTACATAAAATATTTTTTTTCCTAAAATGGTTAGTTTGACTCGTTTTGTATATGCTTTTTGCGATGTAATCTCATTTACATACCAGCTGTTTATGTAAAGTCCTACAGGCGACGCAAAAGCGTGCGCGATCAAATGCGTGGGTCATAAAGCGAGTTTACTGCCGACGGACATCGATATTATTGGCTTATTGGAAACGCCGCAGTCCTCTTTGCCCTCCTCGCGCTGCACCCAATCAGACCGGATTAAAGTCCCCCCGCTGCACGCGCTGCCGTTGGTGCAGTGTAAATGTGCTCGCGCTGACCCCTTTCCGGTTCACCGCTGGGCGACGTAAGGAGCATTGGAGCCGCTAGCCAGTCCGCTTTAAAATAAAGCGTGGCGGGCAAATAAGCGCGGCTCCCAGTTTATTTCATCAGTGTGTTATCTTCGGTTGTTATACGATGATTTTTGGGCAGTGCACTTGTTGGTTAGATTTTTTTGTTACTAAAAATAATATTTTTGTCAGTTTGGTAGCAGATGGAACCTTCGCAAAATATAATAAGTGCTACATTCCAAGCAGTTTATTTACATTTGTTTTTACCGTTTCACGCCACCCAAGAGACTGCTCATTTAATACAGTTGCTCTCGGGAGAGCGTCCCTCAGGTTTGCAGTCGCAAGTATAGACGTATCAGTCGGGCTGGGGAGGGGGTGCAGTTAATGCACAGTCATGCTTACCACCAGCTCACCGGTTAAAATTATTTTTTGAAAAGGATCTCTGCACTTATTAAAATTCGAGTCCCCGAAGGCGACTGGCATCCTAACAAAATACCTACGTGGCCAGGCCTCCCTGTTCACTTCTCAATCAGCTCCACAGCAAAACAGCCCTCTTCTCTAACCAGGAAAATACTCTCTTCAGTCCTACTCAGTGCTCTAATAATGTCGCCTAGGCTTTTTAACTGAAGAGGAGCCTCGGCATTACTTGATGTTGTTGATTAATATACTGTTTTTGGATTAATATAACAAAGTGATTTGATTGCTTGAAATATCTTTTCTGAATCCTGTTTTTAAGGAAGTCAAGTGTTGTCAAGGAAGTCCTTGGGTTAGCTTTCTATCTTATGTATAGAAAAGCGGTGCTATAGTATATCATCAGGTTATTGTACACAGAGTTTGTGAAGGGGAACATGATCCAAGTGTATGAGTTTGGGAAGGGGAACATGATCCAAGTGTATGAGTTTGTGAAGGGGAACATTATCCAAGTGTAGGAGTTTGTGAAGGGGAACATTATCCAAGTGTAGGAGTTTGTGAAGAATATTATCTTAGTGTGAGTTTGTGAAGGAAACCATTTGCCAAGTGTATGAGTTTGTGAAGGAGAATATTATCCATGTGCATGAGTTTTTGAAGGAGATTATTATCTACTTGAGTATGAGTTTGTGAATGAGAATATTATCCACGTGTGCATAAGTTTGTGAAGGAGAACATTATGCATCTGTATAAGTCTGTGAAGGAGAACATTATGCATCTGTATAAGTCTGTAAAGGAGAACATTATGCATCTATGTGAGCCTGTGAAGGAGAACATTATGCTTGTGTATGAATCTGTGAAGGAGAACATCATCCATGTGTTTGAGTATGTGAGGGTGAGCAGTGTTCCTATGTAAAAGGCTCCAGATGTGATGAACACTACATGCTAGCAGAAGCTCTGTGATCACACACAGCTCGAAGGAGTCATAGATGAAATATACTGCAGTGTATTAATTCACTAGACACTAGCAAAGTAGTAATTATCTTATATAATAATCAGAGAAAGCACAATGTGTTTTGAACATGCTAATGTTCAAGAGAAAATTGAGGCTGGTATTGACAATGTATACTGTGCAATATTTGGTAACATGCAGTAATTGCATGCTCAGTGTTCAATACCAGGGTAAACCAGTTACCGGTAGAAATGCTGAAAAGAAACAAACTACATTACATAGCACTCAGTAACATGATAACATTACACACCATATGGACTATCTTCAGCTGGTAACTTGGTATCTCTGCATGCAGAATTTTGCACATACTGTAGTGTGCCATGATTCTCACACCTTACACTATAATAGTTACAATGGTTATTTACTCAGTCCTAATAGTAGGCCGGTGAATTGTGCAGTACAGAGACATTCCAAAGCAAAGGTGGGTATGTCGATAAGCAGATGATGGATGAGCACTTTAAAAAATAGGATGCCGTTATATTATCTAGTCACTGTGACAAAATTTGAGTGCATTCACACTAATGCCTGAACTCCGTTTTGGACGGCAGAGGTATTATTATATCTCTGGCTTTTGTGAGAACTTTATGCTTAGCAAATGAATAATATGATTATGTAACTTTCGAACTGTGTCTTATCATTGTAGTATTGTAATATTAGACAAATGTTTTATTGCACTCTATGTTGTACTCTCATGTTAACTGTCAAATAGGGATTTCCCAAGGATTGGATTGAACTTTACTACAGGCATTGCTTAAATCTTGCATGAAATCACTCCTCTAATTTATTATAGCCCATAAATTTCTAGAAACCTATTACTATTTGGAGTATCCGGCATAGGCAGTAGTGCCTGAATCGTCCCTTCATCGTCCCTTTAATTCCCCTGGAGGAATTAAAGATGGCGCTCTTGTTGGTTGTGAGTGAAGCCAGAATGGCAGGATATAGGTGTTAGCACTCAGCTTTGCATTATATGTTGAACAAAACTAACGTGAAACTAAAAGAAACAGAAATACTGCAAAATAAATGTCACTTCCTGTAGCCTACTCTAGCTCTCGGTGCTTTCACTTCAGCCCAGCTGGGTCTTTTTATAATCATAAAAGTCTCAATGCATTACATTCAGCTGGCCCTATTTATCACTTACAGTCTTTATCTATTAGATACTGAGGTCATAATGTAATGGGAGAGGTAGAACAGGGCTTTGGTTCAATACTTTGTTGTCCTTTTGGCTACCGGCCTTGTCTCATTGACTTGGTCCACAGTTAGTCAAAACAAGAATTCAGACATAGAAAATATCAAAAATATACAAATGGTTATGAACATTGTCATTCTGTAGCCTTTGAGCAATTAAACAAAATCCCCTGAAAACTACTTTAAACACACCGATTGCTCAAGCATAGCAATGTTAAGATGAAGGTTATGTGCCTTCTTGTTACTCTCATGTGCTCCATGAAGCTTTTCATTTTCCTTCCCCCGAGCCTCGAAAATCCACGACGAGATATAAGTGTATCGCTCGTTGTCAGCCATTTGATTTATGAGTACTTAAAGGAAACAAGCTACGTGTAGCAATGCCACT